GAATTCTAATTATATGAATATAAGTTTCTTGATTTTGGCACAGAGTGAACTATTATATGACTGATCTGTAAACTCTTTCTTCTTCATGTTTACTTTAGACAGTTTTTATTGTCATATTCATTTAAGTTTGTAAATAATTTTTTAAAATATGCAATCTATTATTATCATGTTGTATATTCATTTCAGAAATATTTTTCTAAAATTCATTGTCTACATATTATATATTTCACATTTTAATGTTTGTCTACAATTTTTAATTTGCTATATAATTATTGATTTTCAATAAATTAGTAACAAGTTAAAAAAATTTTAAAAGATGGATATAATAAACTCAGCAAAAGAAAAGAATTAACATCAGTTTAAAAAATAAATTCCTTTAGCTTAAAAAAGTTTACTAAGAGATATCCATGAGGGATTCATTTATAGAATCTATAAAAATGAACAAGATGTAGGCCTACATAAACATCTGTGTTGCTGGGCCTACCAGGACACTCCTGTAATCCAGCTTCTCAAAGGTTGGGAAGAAGAATCACAAATTTGAGCCAGCCTAGGCAACTTCACACGACTTGCTCAAGGTAAATCTTTTTAAAAGTGCGTTTAGTACCAAGAGGGTTGGATGGCACGGGGGGGGGGGGAGTGTACTGCCAACTGATAAAACACAAATATTTGCTATGTGAGCCATTCTGTTTAGATGTATACACTTTAGAATCTTTGTCCATCATTGGAAGTGAATAAATATACAAATACAAAAACAAACAAACACACAGATAATATTCTGGACATGGGGTTTTGGAGGAGTTGGTAACTAACCATGACACTGATTCACTGTAATGATAATTGACACATTCTTTAGTACTTAACATTTTAGGCATTATTTTAATTCATTATTTATTGTATTTCTCAAAATGTACCTCAATATTATTCTATCATTATGCCCACTGTATGGAAGAAAAATGGAGACAGTCAGGTCAAGTAACATTCCTATGATCACAAAGCTAGAGAATGTCACATAGCTAGAGTCAGAAATTGAACAGAAGTCTGACTGTAAGTTCTATGCTATTAATGTGCTGAGATATATAATGTATTCTAAAAGATAGGAGAGTTGTGTGTGGGGATGGGTTTCCTTTCCCTACCTTATTTTCTCAGCTAAGACTATAACAAAAGTCTGATTAACAAAAGGAAAGCATATAGATTTATTTGGTGTAAGGTTTTTACACAATTCAGGATCCTTCATAAAAAAAATACAACCTCAAATATGAGCTAAGTGCAATAAGGTGGGAAACACCTTATTTATTCAGATACTTCTTGGTTCTTCCCAGACTCTGGAGTTAAGAAGGAGCTCCTTTCCTAAAGGTAGAGAGAGCAAATATATGAGGTATGTAAGAGGTTTATGAAGGTCAGAAGTTTACCACAATTTTTAATTCCTTTCCCTTTAATTTTCTAGAGATACTGAAATTCTGTTTTTCTTCTTGAAGGTTACCACCCTTTACTGAATGTGGAAATAGCTTCTGTGAAATAAGTATTAATAAAAGGATACTTATTTAATATAGTAATATATATGTGACTAAGCTCTACTTGCGCAGTATCTAAATAAAATCCTTATATTTTAGAGTAAGAAAAACTAAAAGAAAATCTGAAATTCCTAAAATTTCACTGCAGGATTTCTGTTTCAGAATTCTTTGCAGCTGAATGATTCCTAAGAATATTATGTCAAGCAGAAAACGTAACCATTTAATCCTTAAAGTGTAAAATTGAATTTCTTTGCTAAACAATTTAAATGATAATCCTGTATTAGAACCAAGTATTTTACCTTTCATGTATTTATTTTTCCACATATTTATTGATAAGATATATTCATATATAAACTGCCCACTGCTTTATGAATAGCCTAATTGTTCTATATGGCTGAGATAAAATCTGTAGCTAAAACTAGCATATTTTTTTGAAGGTATAGATAAATGCTTGGTGAGTTTTAAGTAGGATTTTTAACTTCAAGTGCTTTGGAGGCCAGGGAAAAAGAATCTGGGACGAATCAGTATGGGAATGGGAATGCAGATTTGATCCTCTAGCCTCATTTTTATAAATTTGTACTGTAAGTTTCTTAAAGCTTTTGAGTTTCTTGATTTTTAAAACAATGGTTTTTAAACTTATGTGGTACCAGCTGGGAAGCTTCAAAAGGTACCATATATACTCCCAAAATTATAAAAAAATTGATCTGAAGTATAGCATGGGCTTTAGAATTTTTTGTAAGACCTCCAGATAATAAAATATGCAGATAAGCATTGTGGTTCAGCAAGCAATACCCTGAAGCATGGTATTTTGGCAGGCTGACTACTTTCATCTGAATGACACTGAAGGGTTGGTGGGATAGATCAGCGCACTACTGTGTCTGCTTAGACAAGTGCAGGACTACAGTTTGATCCCTGGCACCACATGTTGCGCCAGCCCCGCCCAAAGGCAGGCTGAGCTGGCCAGAGTCCAGTGGTGTATGCCTATAATCCCAATGCTGGGGAGGCTGAAAACAGGAGGATCACCATGAGTCTGAGCTGTGTAGTGAGACCCTGCAACAACCAAATAATTAAAAAAATACATATCAATAAATAAATAAATAAATAAATAAATGGCACTGAAAGGCCTCAGAGCAGCTGAAAAGCCAAGGTCTCTCTAACTTGCTATCTGCTGTCTCTTACCCTTCATCCTCCCCAAAGTGAGTCAGAGAAGCTAGAATTTCTCTCCCCAAGGCAGGTGACAGAAATTAGAAACCCTCTGCTCTAAAAGCAATTCATAAAACTTAAATATACACAGCAAAATCAAAAGCAAAACTTCATTTAACAGTCTGAATTTTGTTTCATATTACAATAAAAGAGACACGTCCATTAATTTCCCTCCGAATACTCCCCCCACCACTCTCACTGCAACACGCTATGCCATAATCATTGCCACTTCAGGAAGTCTACAAGTCCTCTTTGGTGAGTGCTTTTAGTCACACTGTCATGGCTGTCTTGACGTCCTGAATCACTCAGAACCGTTTGTTCACGTTGCCTCTGGGGAAGGACCAAAAGATGCATAGTTGCTGGATATAGTGAATAAAGTAGATGAAGAAATTCTATACTGTTACCAAAAGTGCATTTCCTTTGAATGGCACTTGGTAGCAGCATTTACTACACTTTTGATCATACCTTGGAAACATATAAAGATTCTAATACTGCCTCAGGAAGTGGCAAGAACTATGGAATAAGTAGATTCACAACAAGGAGTATTTTGAGGATTAGTGACAGTGTGTCTTATACTACAATAATTTAATTTTTGCAAACTTTTTTTTGTACCAGGAATCAAACTCAGGACCTCATGCTTGCCAGGCAGGCATTGTACCACGAAGCTATATTCTTCACCCCGATAATTTTTTTTTTAAATTTAAACCCTAAGCCAGGTGTGATGGCACATGCCTATAATCTTAGCAGCTGGGAGGCTGAGGCAGGAGGACCACTGAAAGTTTCAGCCCAGCCAGAACTACATAGAAAGACACTATCTCAAAAAAGAAAAGAGAAAATCTTCACTGTATATTGTGATTGCACCTCCTGTTACTTCTAACCTTCCCTCTTCTTTGTGCAGAAGCTGGGTTTTTACTCTCTGTACTAGATCACAAGATGATCCTCCTTCCAGAAGGCATCCTACCCTTACATGTAGGAGTAAGAAATCCCATATAGAGAGGCCATGAAGAAACCAAACAGAAACACCTTACTTTCTCACCTTGTCTATCATATTCGATGACATCCTTTTGTCTAATCATATTTCTATACAATTGTGCATTCTTCCTCAAATCTAAAGCATCAACTTAGAAAGCTTTCCCTGACTCTCTGAGTCATCAATCTGACGTTTCTCCTGTTATATAAAACTTTTGTTAAAGAAATCTCTAAGCTTTTCTTTTATAATCTATCTCTTGTTATAGTGACATTAGTCATAACCCTCATAATAGGTGAAAAAATGTATATATCTTTCTGTCCCTATGCTAATTTGAGAACTATGTTTCTAAAATAATTTTCAGTATTATGTCTGTGACTGAGAAAATTATAATCTTCCCAAATCTAAAACAGAATCACTACTAAGGATTTATAAATAAAATAAAAACTAGAGAAAATAGAAAATATGTATGATCACAAAACATGGAAGCATTTAAAAAATTATGACAGAGTATTTTGCATATAATTCTGGCAACACTGAACTGTGTTCTAAAAGAAAGCAAAAAGGAGGTGTTCTAGCATTCACTTGCCTTTGTATTTTAAGTGTATGTATGAATGCATAGCCATGGGTAAAAGAAAGAAATATTATAGATTTTTAGTATTCTCCTGTTGCTACTCACTAGGGATTAAATAACTTTTAAGACTAGAAATCGCTATAACTTTAAAGAAGTAATTTTTAACCACCATTCAATTAAAGTTAGTACAATGACTTTGCATAATACATACATGAAATAATTAGTGAAGATGGTTCTTAATTTAAAGGATGTTAAACAGCTTGTAGACATCTGGTAACAAGCTGAAATGGGTCATTCAAAATTTATCTAACTAAATTAAGGGGGGAAAATGTTTCTCCTCCCAGGTTGGCATGTCACAAGATAACTAAACCGACTTGGTAGGCTTGCCTGGGAATCCTTAGCTGTCAGCGGTGAATATGCAAAGGGCCAGCAAATTAAATCAACCTGCCAAACTGTCAATTTCAAGCCTCATGACTGCATGAAAATAGCATCACTGGAAGAAATCAAGCATTGCCTTCTTTTGGGTTTCCTGGCACCTATTCAAATACTCATGCAGTTGTGGCTAATTTTGCATGCAAATTTCAGTCAATAAGCTCAGAACAAGACCTCCCAAGATATTTCAAAGGATCTGACAGTATTTTTTCTGAATACCAAATCAACAGTAGTTGAAATTCAATCTCCATTTGCCAGTGCTTTACATATGCACAGTGTCCCCACCACAGAGCTAAGTTAATGAGAGCCCTACCTGCTTTCACTCACATCCTCCCAGCCGTCCTTGCTGAGGTTCTCAAACACATTGCTCATAACCTTGATGGAGTGATTGAGCACAGTGTGGTGAGGGCCCGAACAGCACTTTCTCTTGGCGGCTTTAAGTTTAACCTTGGTCGTGGTTGTCTTACAATCATATTTTCCAGCTCGCAGGTCTGTGGTGGCCATCTCAGACTTGGCTTTGCCTTCAGAAGGCTGTAATTTCTCCACTGGATTCATTAGCTCTTCCTTTTCATTTCTCGGTGCATTGGCTTCTACCACTTGTCTCCTTAGTGAAGTGACTTCTCTCTCCAGTTCACTGATTTTTACTTCAAGTTTAGTTTTGTCTTTGTCTACATCTTTACTCTCCTGTAGTAGCTGTTCAAGTTCTTTTTTTCTGTTCTCTGCAGCTTCTTTATGCTGTTCTAAACTAGCTTTCAGGAAATCATTTTCTTTCACTAATTGTTTGTTTCCTTCTTTTAATTTTTTTGATGTTTTCTCAAAAGATTTTAGTCGATTTTCCAACTCAATGACCTACACAGAAGAGTTTAATTTATACTTTCAAAATCCAAAACCATAATCTACTGGATCTTTATTTAGATTTCTAATTATTGAAAGAAAAATAATGTTCAGTACAAGGACAAAACAAATCTTTGGAACTTAATTTCTAAATAATTGTAAGGTGGTATAGATGAATACATTCAAAATGCAATAATACATCTGTTGAATAAAGGACAGATGGTGAAAGAAGTTAAAATTGTACATAAAGTGATACAGAATTAACTCGCTGAATAAACTGCAGTTTTGTAAGATCCTAAGTACTTTAGTTATACATATACATATTTTTAAACATAAAAAATCTTTAGGAAAAACACCTTATATAAAAAGTTTTAAATAGGTACATGGGGAAACTTATCAATGAATGATATTTTTATTCAACATCCAAAAATCATGAAAAATGAAGACAAAATACAAAATAAACTACAAAGCCCTTGATTTACCCAGTAAAAAACTTTTTACAAAAAAACTCCCCAAAACTTGACAAGGCTGCATATGAATTAAAGTTTTCAGTTTATTTTAATAAATACTATTCATACTGTAGGAACTAGCAGTGGTAAAGTATACTTCTTGATGTTAAGGAATTTCAAAAACTGTTAAGGAGATGTTTACATGCCTAAAGCTAAGAAAGAAAACAACTTAAACGTCCTAAGTCTAAGCATCAAACAAAATAAGTAATTCTAAATCATGAGAACAAAAATTTCATGAAGTTGATATAGATCTTGGTCTTGAAAACTAATAAGTATTGCTTATTTATACATACATTTTGCTATTTACAAAGTAGTTCTATAAACACAGTCTCTCCATATCATCTCAAAACCATGAGCTAAGTACAATACTTATATTTCCATAATAGAAACTGCAACAAAACATCAACAACCACAACAATAAAAAGTAGATTTAGGGGCTGGGGAGATAGCTTGGCAGTCTAAGAGCCTGCCTGGCAAGCACAAGGACCTGAATTCAATCCCCAGTGCCACATGCCATGCAGGTCCTGGCTGTGCAGCCACCAAAACTGGGTGTGGTGGCTTGCCAGCAATCCCAGTGTTGGGGAGGCTGAGACAGGTTCACTATGTCTGAGCTGTGTAGCATGATCCTGTACCAATTAATTAATTAATTAAAAGAAAGTTTCAGAAAAATTACACAAAGAGGTAAATTCCTACTTTGAACTGGAATGCAAACTGAGAATATTTTGCCTATACCACATTCCATAAGCCATCTGAGAAGATACACTTTATAAACACACCACACACACACACACACACACACACACACACACACACATACAAATTGAAGTTATATTTACTTTAAAAGGAAAATTATCAAACAGATACTTTTCCCCCTATGTTGTGTGGCAGTCTGGGGAAACATTTTAATGTTCTGACAACTACTATGGTTTAAATGTTTGTGTACCCCTAAAATTCATATGTTAAAAACCTAATCAAACAATTAGTGGAGGCGGGGGTTCAATCCCTGGCCCTGCCATGCCTGCCCCACTCCTAGGGCACATTGAGATGGCAATTGAGACTGGACATGGTGGTGTGCACCTGTAATCCCAGCCTTTGGGAGGCTGTAAATAGGCAGATCACTATGAGTTCTATCTAGTAGTGAGACCCTGAACACCCTCTAGACCCTTCCTTAAAAAATTAAAAAAAAAAAAAAAACTATTGCAGAGATCTAATCTAACGAATAGAATAAATAACCTTTGAAGAGAACCTAGAGCGCTACCTTTCTCCTTCAACCATGTAAAGATAGCTAGAAGTCAACATTAAAAAAAAACACCACTATTTTTCTTATGAGTTCGATTACCTTTCTCTAATTAAATAGTTATTTACTGATTGGTTAACCTATCCAGAGACAAGATTGGGTAGCCTACCCTATCAACACAATATAAAGAATCTCACCTAATTTTAATCAGTTATAGTCCACAGTATGACACACTGATAGCTTTTATGTCCTTATAGGACCTAATTTTTGGTCCACAGTGCAGGTACATGAAATTGGTCCCTAGCTCTTATAAGCCTCTGCATATTTCTGTGATGAGATTCTGTTCTTCCTTCACAATGTAAATTTTACTGGAAAGATGGTAAACATGACAAAAACTAGTGCTGAAGAAAACAAAATCTGGCTGAATCTTTATTTCTTCCAAAACATTCTACTTCCAATTTTTATTCTCAATTTAGTAAAATGTACTACAAACAAGGAATATTATCTCTTTATACTATATTTAGTTTTCCTTGATGGATCTTTAATCATTGCCCCAAATAGAATATTTTCCATACATGTATTTTAAAATACTTAAACAGGCTATATTTTAGGGTAGGGTAAGTAAAATAGACTACATCTTTAATATATCTTCTATATAAGCAATTATACATTTTCAAAAATACTGACTTAGAGAGTGGTAGAAAAATGTTAAGAAGTAGTAATCTAGAGAAAACACTTTTTTGAGTCAGATCTGTATCTTATTTTCAGATCTCATTGCTTTAGTTGGTAAAATGTTTAAAGTCTTATACCATTAGTCTCCAAATCTGTGAGACAGGAGCAGTAATATCTACCATGCAGAATTGTTTTGAGTATTAAACATGGTAAGCAAACAATTCTGGCCGACAGTAAGTACGAATCAATTTACTATTTTCATCAACATTATTATTGTTAGGGTCGGCCGAATAGCTCAGTGGATTAAATCAACTGCAAGCAGGCGCAGGGGCCACCAGTTTGATCCCTGGGCCTGCCCTGGTGGTTCCACCCACAGGGTGCGATGAGACAGCAATTGAGACTGGGAGTAGTGGCACACACCTGTAATCCCAGATCTTGCGAGGCTGTAAACAGGCGGATCACTAAGATCCAATCTAGTAGTGAGACCCTGAACACCCTGTAGACCCTTCCCTAAAATACAAAACAACACCAACAAAAAACCATTATTATTGCTTCTTTTACTTTAAAACTGTTTCTATTATATGTACTAAATATGCTAAATTAGTCTTTAATTCTATAGTTTTAATAAAAATAAAACATGAACACATGTAACATTTTATTAATTTTTATTTTTATTTTATTGAGACAGGGTCTTGGTATGTAGTTCAGGCTGGCTTTGAACTTACAACAGAGCCCTGGCCTGCCTGGAACTCACAGTGATCCTCCTGCCTCCACCTCCCAAGTGTTGGGATTTAGGTGTGTACCACCATGCTTAGCTGTGTAAGAAAACACTTTAAATTAGTGATTTAATTCTGGAAATTAGTATTTTTATCTTTTGACTAAGATCTATTTAAGTTTGGATATAATTCATAAAATTTTTATTTATGTTGGGGCCCAGAGCACAGTACGGTATCTTGGCATAGTGAGGACTTCAGGGTTTTTTGTTCGTTTGTGTTTTGTTCTTCTGAGACCGGGTCTCGCTATGCAGTTGAGGCTGGCCTTGAGCTCACTCTGCAGCCCAGGCTGGTCTGGAACTTGCAAAGATCCTCCTGCTTTAGTCTCCCGAGTGCTGGTATTCCAGCTGTGCACCACCGTGCCTGGCTGAGGACTTTGAACTGAAGGGCAATGGAAGGTTTTGGGGCAGTATCTCCAACTTTCTACCTTTTATCCTTCTTTGTCACCCAACTTGAGTTTCTCAGAATTTCTTTTCAACCTGGCAAGTCACTGGAGATAGAACTCCTCACTTCCTACAAAGGCTACCCTTCCTTTTTCTTTCACCTTGAAGAGCCTCGTGTAAAGGAGACGCCCCATCCTATGGGAAAGGAATGCTACACAGAAAGGTCAAGAAAAGCCTGAGTGAAAACGCCTTCTTTGGGTTTCACTCTCAATCTATTCTCATTGGATCAAATCATTTTTTTTCAATCACAATTTGACACAGATGTTCTTTCTTCATAGAACTTAATCATAAAATGAACATTTCTTCCTGGGTCTTCATTTCTGAAGCCTCATATGTCACATAAAAACTTTAATTAAATAACTTTGCCACAGTTTTATCACGTTAACCTGCCTTTTGTTAAAGGAATACTGGTTGTGATGCCTGATGATGACAAAAGCCATCGCACCTTTCTGCCCCTGTACGTACCAACAGGAAAAGCCTTGGGATTTTAAAGCCTATCAGCTGCCCAATGTGAATCTATGTTACAATATGTGAACCGGTCAAAACTTATTTTTGTTTAAAATGGAAGACAGATAACAAAGCAAATATATTACTTCTAAACACTTTAAAAGGGGAAACACATAACACCATTAAAGTGTTCCTCAAGGTATGCTCAAAAATTACTAAACTGATTTTAAAAATGAATCTGGGGAACTGTTAAGGTATTTGGTTTTTGTGTTTCAAATCTGCTCAAATCCATTATTTCGCTTTAGTGATAAAATTTTAAGATAATTTACCAAAAAGATAATTCTTTCTTTCTTTCTTTTTTTTTTTTTTTTTTTTTTTTTCTGGTACCCTGCACTTGCCAGGCAGACACTTATTCCACTGAGCTATCTCCCCGGCGCAAAAAAAGGAAATTCTTTTCAAAATTGAAATACAGCACCTGGCACTGTGAGATGTACATGTTAATCTGATGGGTCTGCCAAAAAAAATGTAGCACAGTGGGGGGTGTGGCTTAACAAAAACTTATTTTCTTATAGATCTAAAGTTTGAAAATCCAAGAAAAATGTCAGTGGACTTCATTTCCTTTAAGGCTTGATTCACTGCCTTGTAAACAGCAAACCTTCCCTGTGTCACATGGTTTTCTGTCTGTGTCCTAATTTCATTTTCTTGAAACAATGCAAGCTTGCTATATTAGGGCCTTCCTTAATAACCTCATTTTAATTTAAATACTTCTTTAAAGACTCACTCTAAATAGAATTCTGAGATTTAAAAGGTTAGAATTTAAAGATTCAGGGGGACATTATCAGCCAACAACAGAGTGAAATACTAATATGTTATTATATGTGGTATTAGAAACACATGCAGACTTTGCTCTCATCTTGTTACTACCTTTTATATTCATTTCGAATAAGTGTCATGTATCACCTTTGAAAAAAACTTAGGCTGCGGTGTGGCTCAGTGGTAGCATGACTGCTGGCATGCAGAAGGTCTGGGTGCTCCAGCATCACAAAAATAAATAAATGATGAAATTCAACCATGAGTAATTAAATTGTGACAAACAACTGCACTAGATTAATATAAAAAACAGCAACAAATTAGTATGCTAATTTGACATATGGTTCAATGAAAATAATTCCTGTTTGCTTTCCAGGCCTTAAAGTGGATTCATATATCCATTATAATATTAGTCATTTACAGTGGTTAGAAAGAAAGAATAGATTTCATTAGTTTCTACTCTAGGGCAATACAGAGTGACATATTAATTTAAAATCTGGCAAACAAAAATATTTCTGAAAAGAAGTAAGCTACTCTAAGCTATATGATATCCTACCTGATAGGAGGCAGATTATTTCAATTATGCATTTTACTTTAAGATAAATGTGAGCATTTTTTATTCTTTATGTCATTAAGTTTACCAGTTACGTGTCATTCAGTAATACTGAGATGACAGCCTTTATTACCTGACCATATGCCAAGTGTTAGAACTATTCAGGGAATTACATTAACTGTTATAAATTACTGTATGTTCTACAAGTCAGTTCACATCTGCAAGGAATATAAGTACATATATTAATTTTCTGCTTATATATGTGAATTTCTAACTTTTTTAAATGTTAAAG